GTCCTCTCCCCGCTTCAGCATTTGGCAGCCACCTCTCAGCCGGCCCTCCTGCCCCCGAGTTTCCCGACAGCTCATGCACGTGCATGACCATTTGCTTTGCTGCTCACTGGGTAAGCGCTACTTAACCTCTCTGAGCCTCAGTTTCCTTAACCCTCAAATGCTCGCCCCACCTTCTGCCCTCGCCCTTTGCTGGGTGCCCGCGTGCATTTGCTGGGAGGATGTGCGTGGGCAGGACGGGTGAAGGGGGAAATGCTCTATGTGACCAAGATAATGTCATCGACAGTTAAAACTCGAAACCCAGATTTCCTGCTGCAGGTCACGTGCCTCTCTGTGCCTCAGTTTCCCCAGCTGGACTACAGGGGAAGTCCATGAGGGACGTTGGGTGTGAGGATGAAATGAGAGGAGCAGGGGACCCTCCGAGGAGCCTGGCGTCAACAGGTGCCACGTGGGAACCTCACGTGTCCCTGATGCTCAGAGCTCTGTGCCTGTCCGTGCCGCTCTGTGCCTGTCTGTACAGCTCTGTGCCTGTCCTTGCCGCTCCGTGCAGCTCCGTGCCCGTCGGTGCTTGTCTGTGCCGCTCCGTGCCTGTCCGTGCAGCTCTGTGCCTGTCCGTGCAGCTCTGTGCCTGTCCGTGCAGCTCCGTGCCTGTCCGTGCAGCTCCGTGCCTGTCCGTGCAGCTCCGTGCCTGTCCGTGCAGCTCCGTGCCTGTCCGTGCAGCTCCGTGCCTGTCCGTGCAGCTCCGTGCCTGTCCGTGCAGCTCCGTGCCTGTCCGTGCAGCTCCGTGCCTGTCCGTGCAGCTCCGTGCCTGTCCGTGCAGCTCCGTGCCTGTCCGTGCAGCTCCGTGCCTGTCCGTGCAGCTCCGTGCCTGTCCGTGCAGCTCCGTGCCTGTCCGTGCAGCTCCGTGCCTGTCCGTGCAGCTCCGTGCCTGTCCGTGCAGCTCCGTGCCTGTCCGTGCAGCTCCGTGCCTGTCCGTGCAGCTCCGTGCCTGTCCGTGCAGCTCCGTGCCTGTCCGTGCAGCTCCGTGCCTGTCCGTGCAGCTCCGTGCCTGTCCGTGCAGCTCCGTGCCTGTCCGTGCAGCTCCGTGCCTGTCCGTGCAGCTCCGTGCCTGTCCGTGCAGCTCCGTGCCTGTCCGTGCAG